CCAAAAAAAAAACATTGTTCTGATCATTACCAAAATAGATTTTATTTATCAAACAATTTGCTTTAAACGTTACATTTTTCTTGAAAAAAGAACTGAACATATGGAACCGTAATTTAATCACATGAGCCTCATCTCGAATAAGCCCAGCTGATCTCATGGCCAGTTATATTCATAATTTTCTGTCTTATTTTCCTGCTGGTTCGAAAATTTATCAACGTCCCAGGAAAACGCATGATTCTTGATGCTGGCCCTCATACGTTTGCTTGGTATGTGAACATAATTGCACCCGCGCTGTGCCTGAAAAAAACTTGCGAATAAGGCTGTATATATGTAGTGTGCTGATGCAAAGAGATGGGCTCAGGGCTCAGCAGGATCCACGAGCACAAGGACAATAATTGCACTGGAAATATTCGCCTTGCTGAACACGCGACACAAGGCACGTCATGGAATGTAATAATCATGGAACCGGAAAAACGCATTTCAGGGATTTTCTGTATGTACAGCAAAGAGAATGGATATGAAAAGAGACCATTTCAGGCCAGGAGAGGTTGGATTTTAAAATGAGACGAAAGGTCAGGTGGAAAATTCTTGAAAATCTCATCATCAAGCAGAGATTTGATAAGAAAGTTTCAATTGGTGAAAGGGTTCTTAGTCAAACGATTCAAAATTTTCATGAAATTAGCACGAACACTGCTATATGATGATAAACATTATATTCAAATGAATTACTTTATTGTGCTGTGTTCGTATGCAAACATGTCTTAATTCAGAACATGAGAGTTCTGAAATTTCCCTCTGCTGCCAGAGTCTCCAAAATTTATTTTTCACACGCATATATTATCCTTCGTATTTTTCCTCAATTTTATAAAATAAGAAGGATCACTGCTATGTTGATGACAATTATGCGTAGATGAAATTTATTGTGTGATCAGATGCGAACATGTCTTAGTTAAAAACTTGAGAGTTCTGAGATTTTCTCACGTGCGCCTCAAAAAGCTTTTTTTTTTTTAAGCATAAGGGATATAGAAGAACTTTTTGACTTTTGTCGGAAAGTTATCGACTGAATCAATTTTTCTCAAGAGGCCTTTATATAAGTTGAAATTGGCACGAAAAGATGCGAATATTGGGGATGGAAGTTCGAAGAGTGGGATCCTTGAAGTTCGCGGTCGACCTGATTTTTCTCTGGAAACTTTCCCGGAGACTTTTTTGATAGAATTCATATTTTTGCGTGGAACTCTTTACTCAATTTTTCTCAGTTTTTTGTTCCTTGTAGTTTGCGACTTGAAAAAGTTCTTGCTTGCTGATTGCAAGTTTCGTATTGAATGGAATACTTTTTTTTTGTATCCTCGCTGTTGTTGAGTTCCACCATTTGTTATGCCGATTTTTTAAAAGGTATATTTCTGTGTTCCGTTAATCTTGAAATACAGTACATTATATGATTTTAATCAATTTTTAAATTATTTTTATAGAATGCAAGAGCGAGTTACGATTTCAGCAGCAATGATCCATACCCGTACCCAAGATACACCGACGATTGGTTCAACAGGTAAGCAAATCGGGCTTTCTAAAATTCATGAATCATGATTGATCATATGGAAATAAAGGAGGTCATTGATAATGGAAATTAATGAGTCGCAAGAATCATTTATGTGCTCTTCTAAAATTAAAATAATGTTTCTATATTCGAGATTGGTGAAATTTTTCTCCTATAATTGAAACGACTGACTCCATCAACAAGTTGAATTTTGAAATTCGACCCATTTCTGACGTTGAAGAAGTACGGTTTTCGTGGCCTGAAATATTGTCATTATGTTTAACTTTATACAAATACTAACAAATGGTAAAAGATATCGGTACCGTGGTCTACACGTCCTCTCCAAAGACGTCGGTCTCTGTTGCCTTAAACGCCGCATCCCCACCGAATGCCTAGAGTTCAGCGTCCTATAAACTGACAACACTTTTCCTTTCTAGAAACATGGTGTCTAGAAACGAAGCGCATGTCATCCCGGTTACTCCTTTTCCTTCCTCGATTGAGTACACTTGGATTATTGACACAAGTAAATCAATTCCACACATTCTATACGCGCTCCTTCAAACTCACCGGAGTATAATCTTTTCCCGAGAACATATTTTGTTCATTTTATTTGACGACGAAAAAAACATTGTAATTTTTCCACAAGAATTTCCCTTGTATGATGCAAAAAGAACCTTGCTAAGGTATCTCTGTACAGAATAGGTTTTTAAAAATGTGGAGGTGCCGGGGATTGAACCCGGGGCCTCTCACATGCGAAGCGAGCGCTCTACCACTGAGCTACACCCCCTTTCTTNAATTTCCCTTGTATGATGCAAAAAGAACCTTGCTAAGGTATCTCTGTACAGAATAGGTTTTTAAAAATGTGGAGGTGCCGGGGATTGAACCCGGGGCCTCTCACATGCGAAGCGAGCGCTCTACCACTGAGCTACACCCCCTTTCTTCAGATTGACCATTTAATTTATTAACCAAATTAATGACTTGCAAGAAAATGTGCTGTCCAAATACTTATTCTCACTAAAACTTGCTTTTCTTTTCAAGTTCAAATCAGGAAATTCAAGTGTCTTATCCACTTCAATCAATAAGTTATAGAACCATTTTCAAATCTTCATGTTCATCAAGGTACTGAGTTGCTGTGCTGTATATACCAAGTTGATAATGATTAGATCGCTATTATTTCAGACGAATAAAATTTGCTTTTCTCTTCAAGTTAAAATCAGGAAATTCAAGTATCTTATCCACTCCCATCAATAAGTTATAGAACCATTTTCAAATCTTCATGTTCACCAAGGTACTGAGTTGCTGTGCTGTATATACCAAGTTGATAATGATTGGATTGTTATTATTTCACAAAACGTACTCTCTTTAAAGGGTTCTTTTTTTAAAATTTAAATTCCCTACTTTGCTTCGTTTATTATGATATGGGATGAAAAGTTCGATTTTGAAGAGATTCGCAAATTCAAAAATATGGGTTGCGTTTGAGAGCTGCTGAAGCAATCATGTATTGAGCTGCTTGGATGTGCAGTGCCTCATTTTTTCCTTGTGGAATACACTTTTTCAGGAGCGTGTCACGCGTATGTCAGACAAGAACAGTGGAGAAAATAATGGAAATATTTTCAGCAGAGAAAGAGAAAAATATGTATACCCTTCCAGCAGATTTACCTGTCCAAAACTTGACATGCGAAATCTTCTCCTATATAGAGTAAAAGAAAGATTGATGAGTAAAACACTCAGTGCAATTCTCAGATTCATACGAATACCATGAATGCTTGAGTGACCGGGTCGTTTTTTTTCTGCTTGAAGAGTTATTTTTTCCTGCACTGCTGTTGTCATAATGCGATGCTTCAGAATCTCGAGTTCAAGAAGTAATTTACCTAATTCAATATATTATCAATGAAAAAAAGAACGAATTCCGGATGGAAGTCCACATTTAAATCTAGTCCAACCGATATGGCTCAATAAAAGCATAAGAAAATTCGCGGATATTCGAATAAATTTGTTCTGTCATTCGAAACGTCAGCTTTTCTGCAAAATATAAAAATATATTCCGAATTTTTTTTAGGAGGAAGGTTCCTCACAAAGCTCGAAAAAAAAGTTATTCGCTTGAGCTGAAGAATTCATTGCCCTTCATTCGATTTTCTGAAAGAACATGTGATCAAACGCAAATGCTAAATTTCTTGCCTAGTTTCATGTAAGGACGAACTTATCTGATGGACTTGCTAGATTTAAAAAAGAAATGCTTACTCAGCGTAACAAAAACAGGAGAAACAGCGCATTTTCTGTTCCTCCTGCTTAAAAATAAATTAAAATTCCTGATGACTAATGAGCAATTCCGTTTTTCAATTATCCTAAAGAGAAAAATATTCTATCATTTGGTCTCTTGGATTAGGGATGTATTTTCAAAAAGTTCACAATGTTGATGATTGAAAATAAGATTGGAACGCTGTTTGAAACAAATAGTAAATATTTATCAATTATCCGATGATAACGTTCACATTTCGACGGAAATGATGTGTCGTAGAATAAAATAATTCTTGAACGTGTTCCTCTTATTAAGCTGAACATATCTCAAAGACTTCTTCTTTTAGATAATCTAGCGTAAATTATTCTTCCCGAAAAAATATCAACATATTTTTAATATCATTCTGGGATTATGAAAATTTATCCTACGCTTTTGAGATATGAGCAGGTCGAAATCATCTTTTTTTTTGGCTCTCTTTCTAATCTCGCAGTTGAATCAATAATGTTTTTCATGAAACGTGGCCATGAAGAATATTTCATGATTTGTTTTTTTTATCGTATGCAAAGGGATCCGAATGTTGGACCAGCCTTACATGACTGACCTGATCGAGGCCAATTCCATGGGCCACGAACCGCATCTCATTGACATCTATTCAGCATCTTGGGGACCAACAGATGATGGGAAAACTGTGGATGGTCCAAGAAACGCCACAATGAGAGCCATTGTTCGTGGTGTCAATGAGGTACGGATTTTGTAAGATGGTATAGTACCGTATTCAGTCGAGAACCACGCGCACTTTTTATTTTTAATCAAGATTGATAGGGGAAAAAACGGGGTTTGCATCGATGGAATACATTTTGAAAAGTGTTTGAAGTTTATATGTGCACTTATACTTCTAGTAGACATTTACTGAAATTATACTGTAACATAAATTTACTGAAATTATACTGTAATACAGTAGAAATTTACTTCAATTATACTGTAATAGAAATTTACTGAAATTATACTGTAATAGAAATTTACTGAAATTTACTGTAACAGAAAAAATGAAAATTACGTGAATCCAGGATCAAATCCTGTCAAAATCTGTAGAACTAGATTTCGATCAAGCGTCACATTTTTGAAAATCCGATTATTTCTAGAAATAACTTCGCTGGCAATGGAATTTCCAGTATATTATTCCAATATCATTCTTTGTTTCATCTCTGGTTCACCTTTTGAAAATAGGGAATGCATCGGGCAACTCAGTCAAATAGGTTCAGATGTTTTACGACTACAGGATAAATTTACATTATTTACAGGTGCATTTTTTGCTGGACATAATGACAGAGTTTTCCATATACAGCCGCATGCACGCCTCAAATTGTGTCTCCTAACGAGGAGCGCATGGGTTCGGTGATTCAGTTCAGTTGCTTCCACTTGAAAAAAAAAACGAGACTTTTTTCTGGGTTTTTCTCTAACATTCATCCATTTATTTATTCTCCGATGAAAGGGTCGGCGAGGATTGGGCAACATTTACGTGTGGGCCAGTGGGGACGGCGGCGAAGACGACGACTGCAACTGCGACGGCTACGCGGCGTCCATGTGGACCATTTCCATCAACTCCGCCATCAACGACGGCGAAAACGCGCACTATGATGAGAGCTGTTCATCCACACTCGCGTCTACTTTCAGCAATGGCGCCCGAGATCCGACCACTGGCGTCGTGAGTCTTCCTTCATCGTCGTCATCGAACCTCCTCGTCGTATAAATTGACGCATCAATGTGCCAAGAGAGAAAAAAAAAACATGTTTTCTTCACTGATTCATCAATTTGGAGCCTCTGCATGGTGTTTAATATATGAATTAAGCCTTTATAACAACGTTTGATTCACAAAATTGCGCTTCAAAGAACTGGAGCATCGATTCTACAGCCAATTAAGAGCCATGGCAATTTCAGTTTCACGAGCCAAATACTGAGAATTCGAAAATTTTAATCTAAAAAATGGAGCAGTTATTCTCTTTTTTTCGTTTTTGACTCTTTGTCTTCTTCAATTGTGTCTGTTCTAATTGTAGTGGTCGACCTCATAATGATCATGGAATGAGTTGAAAAACTTTGCCGGAACGAATCAGTTTCCTTGAATGACAATCAAAATTGTATTATTGCATTCTCAAGTCTATCACTTCAAAAAAATGCATTATTTGGAACATATGCATGTATTGAAGTGTTGACACAAATTGAACTCAAATTTTAAGGAACGATGCAGTGGTCATCCTTAGAATATGATTTGCTTCGTTCTGTTTGAAAAAGATTTTTGGCAAATGAAAAAAATTGAATGTAGTTCAACATCTCCGTGATTTTATTTTCAATGACACCGCCAAGACGAATTGAAAAAAAAAGAAACCTATGCCAATACTGTATATTTAAAGGCACAACCCCTAAAACTGGTTCATCAGCAGCACCTAATACTTCATCTTCAGGCCGTCAGAAAAAGTCAGAATTCTTACTTAAGATGAAGACTGTGGCACTGTACCGTATTTCGTGATCAGAATTCGAAAACATGTTTTTAAAAAAACTATAAAAAAGGAGCATATCAGGTCAACAAAATACCTTCGTGTTTCAGGCAACAACGGATTTGTACGGGAAATGCACTCGAACCCACTCAGGAACGTCGGCTGCTGCACCTGAAGCCGCAGGGGTTTTTGCTCTGGCCCTGGAAGTCAAGTAGGGAATTATTCAATGCATTATTGTTTCTGCTGGACGAGTTTTAAAAACAATTTTGACGATGTGCTTTTTGATGAGGAGTAAAATTACGAGAAAAGGCTGGATTGGATTTGAGAAGAAATTCAGCATTCTCGTTTGCTGCGCGTGTCATACATTCATGATTTTACAGACAATAATATTATTCATTATTATTACTTTCAAAATCGATTTTCATAAATTTATTCCGGATACAGCGAAAATTACAGAATTTCCTTTGTGCTCGCAGCCGTGTGGAATATTAATTTTTTACCGAGAAAATTGGGTAACCTTGAAGACATCATAAATCTATTTCGCTTTCGGAGCTTTAATCAGACATAATTTAAAATTTTATGCGATTTTATCCAATGAAATCTTCGCTGGCTTTCGATCGTCACAACATTTGGCAATCTCAATTCGGTCACCTTATTGAAGACATCTGAAAACTATTTTGCTTTCGGAGCTTTAATAAGACATAATTGCAAATTTTATCCAATGAAATCTTCGCTGGCTTTCGATCGTCGCAACATTTGGCAATCTCAATTCGGTCACCTTATTGAAGACATCTGAAAACTATTTTGCTTTCGGAGCTTTAATAAGACATAATTGCAAGTTCTATGCAATTTTTTCCAATGAAATCTCCGCTGGCTTTCGATCTTCACAACATTTGGCAATCTATGCAGAAGACGATATTCGCTCATTATAAAAAAAATAATAATTTATATGCAGTGCACGCTTCTATATATTTTGTTCAAATGAAAAGCGCTTTTTAATTTAGCTTAAATTATTTAATATCTACCCGCGGTGAATGACGGGATTCAATTCAAAATAAAATGCAGAAATTAAATTTAATAATTTTTTTCATCATATGCTGAGCAGCAGCCAGTTGAGTTGGCGGGATATCCAGCACTTGACCGTGTTGACCTCGAAGCGGAACTCGTTGTATGATGGCAAAGGAAGGTTCCACTGGCTCATGAATGGAGTGGGACTGGAGTTCAACCACCTTTTCGGATATGGGGTACTGGATGCGGGTGCCATGGTCGCTCTGGCGAAGCAGTGGAAAACGGTACCAGCCCGGTTCCACTGCGAGGGCGGCACGAAGCAGGGTCTCTTGTGAGTCTTTTCCTCCGCAACTTTCATTTCCAACGAGTTTTTCTGGCTCTCCTTTTGATGTAGCTGATTTCTTATTGCTTATTGCAACAAAATTCGTTTTATATATATTTTTAGTTGCTTTTTTGAATGAGCTGTCCTTTGCTTGGAGACATGCCGAATGACTAGAGCCGTAAAATGCAGTTTCTAAACAAGCATTCATATTTTGCAGGGCAGCAAAAACGACTTGAAAACAAAAAAATTTAGTAGATTAAAAAATCAATCTAAAAAACCACATTTTCAAAAAGCAAAAAATAACCTTAAACGTGGTATCCGGACAAACAAACGGACAAGAAAGTGAGTTAATAAAAACGTGTTAAAAACCGCCATACAACCAGCTCAAAATTGAAAAAAAACCAACGAAATTTTAAAAATGAAATTCGTATCGTTCATACAAAAGTAATTTAGTCAATGTTGTTGGTTCATTAAGTCATATTATTCGAATGGGACTATTATACCTTGGTACCACGCAAAAAAAGAACCACTGTATGTAAGAGTCGAGGAAGTTCAGTTAGAAGGTCGAATTCCATTACTATACATATATACTGTACCCTTATTTCACGAGCTTTTTGTTCTTCGGTGATTTTTTTTTCTTGCAGTTCCGTGAAACATCGTCTAAATTCAACGCATATTATCAATTCAGATACCGTAATGCAAAACATAAAGCGATAGAAAATAATGGAACAACAACGTTTTCTGATATGCGGACGTCTTTATTTCACACACACAGACAGCTTTGTTTTACGAATGTTTTAAATTCTTGACCAGCGAAAACAAATTCATTGCGGAAGACGCATATTTCAGATGAGGGCAATGAGAAAATGATGTTTACCACATTTGAATACAGTATAATATTTTGCATTTACTTTTTGGAGAATATTATTGCTCAAAAATGGGATTTGGAACTGGTTCTGCTGGAAAACAGTATCCTTCATCAAATTATCTTTAACTTCACAACACATTTTTTATTTATGTTAAGATAAAAACATTAATTGACTTTCTCTCGATTCATCATTCGATTGTTACTACAAGGTTCTTTTTTGGCAATCTGCACAACCAAATTTTTCGACGATGTATATAGACTCTTCTGAAAGAATACTTGGCTTAAACACACACAAAAATATGCCCAGGGGATTGAAATGCAAATTCATGTGCTGATTGAGTGCATGCAGGAACAAGCGTAAAAATTAAACTGATTTATCACTCGAACCTCTTGACTTTGTTTCCAATCATTTGACATTCTAAATGATAGTCTTCTGAGAATGCTCGGAATGCTGACTCCAAATGACTTTTCTTCTTTGAGGCATTCTCGAATACAGTAGGAAATTACCTTTTTAATGCTCGGATGGTTTTATTTCAGTGAAATTCCGAGCAACTCGTCAGTGTTCCTGGAAATTGAAAGTCCGGCTTGCGTTGGCACTGACACCGAAGTCAACTACTTGGAGCACGTCCAGGCTGTGCTGACCATCAACGCAACTCGCAGGGGTGCCATTCAAATAGCAACTCGTCAGTGTTCCTGGAAATTGAAAGTCCGGCTTGCGTTGGCACTGACACCGAAGTCAACTACTTGGAGCACGTCCAGGCTGTGCTGACCATCAACGCAACTCGCAGGGGTGCCATTCAAATGTTCCTCACATCCCCCATGGGCACCAGGTATATTTTCTTTTTTCTCTCTATGAAAAATAATAAGTCCTTTAAAAAAAAGGGCGAGGAAATATTCTAAGGGCGCTCCGGCCAAAACCGCCAATTGGTGTTCTTTTTTTTTGCGAATATTGTGTGCTCAATTCAAAATTTTGTTCAGCAGATGGAAACTTTCTGCTGATTTTTTTTTGAAATTATGTTTTTATTCGAACGTTTGTTTTGACAGATCAATGATTTTGAGCCAGAGACCGAGAGACGATGATTTGAAGGATGGATTCACAAAATGGCCATTCATGACCACTCATACTTGGGGCGAAAACCCTCGAGGTGTTTGGACTTTGGAGGCAAGTCAAAGTATATCCAGCTTCACAAAAATGATTTACAAAGAACTTGCTATACTGAAGAAATAGTCTTAAACTTTTCTAAGCCTTTTTTATGAATATAGGAAATTCTGATCTTTTTTAAAAAAATGATAACTACATTTTTGCATTTTGAATCGCATTGATTCGGGATGAGGTAACTTATTATGGGGACCAGATCTCAAGCTTGTTAAACTCTGACTAGTGCTTTGTTCTTTTTATGTAGTCACACCGGAAATGCCCTTGAAAACTCACTTCTCATTTCCAGGGGAAATTCTGGAAGAAAACGCAGTTTGAATGATTCATCAAATTCCTAGCATTATTTTTCGATGGAGTAAAACTTGTAGTGTCTTTGCTGACAAAAACTCTGGTCAATGCATAAGGACAAATAAAATTCGTGTAAAATAAAAAGGCATAATATACAGTTTTTAAGTTATGATTCACATTTCTGTGTACTTAACTCTTTCATGGTGGAGGGTTTCTGGGTCATCGACCTGCAGCAAATTCAGGCTTTTTGGGGGGGGGGGGGGGGGGCATTTCAGTTTGACCAAAGGTCACTGACATGCTCCCACGTTGCCAAGGTTCAGGTCAGGAAAAATCGAGGTACAGAAGATCCCATTTTCTCATAAAATCCCCAATGTTAATCCAATGGCAAGAATGACGGAAAAAATGCCACCCATCAGCAAGAAGGAATTTTTTGTTGTAGGCCAATATTTTTCTGCAGGATTATTAAAAATTTTTGGACTCTTTCCTGACTTGGGCCTTGGGTCAAAAATCAAATCTTCTTAATTTTCTGCCCTCATGGGGACAACATTTTGCAAAAATATCCTGACTTTGCTGCACAAGGGTTAACAGTTCTTGATGTTTATATGCGGGTTATCTCTATGTGAATACTAAGGGGTAAATTTTTTGGACCATCAGCGCATTACATATTAATTATTGAATCATGTTCATGAGAGACAAAAAGCTTGCATCACAAATCATGATGATTTTTTCCCATTCAGATGGAATGTTTTGAAAAATCTAATTGAAATAAATTTCCTCACTTTTATGTGTTAAAAACCTTTTGTTTATGTGAAACTTGGGAGAAAACATCCAGGGACAGAACTTGAAACTTCTTCAATCCCTAGAACGTGTTCTGGCATCCTGGCAACTGTTTGCAACCCCTATTAGATGTTTCAGTGATATGTTTCTGAAGCATATGGTCTTACAAGACAGTAGATATATGCATATCTGGAAGAATATCAGATTTGATTCTTAATATGCTTCTCCAATATGCATGGGCAGAGAACCTACTGAGAACCGTACCAGCTTGATATGGTTCCATCTTATTCTGAAAGAGAACTTCTTGGGGAGATATGCACAGAACTTTACTTTTTCAAGTATGGTATTAAGCATATATTGGAGATATTTCTGAAAAGATGANCCCCCCCCGGTTAACTTGTTTTGACGAAAAACCGGATAAGTCTTGACTCCTGTTTCCGTTGTATAGGCCTTGAGAGGGTCCGCAGAGTATAAAAAACCAGCAGTTCCGGAGCTCTCAGGTTCAGTTTGGAATTTTTTGGTGATCTAGGAAGAGCAGTTCATCCCTGAGTGGAAAAAAGTTTGATTTCGAGTCTCAAAATTAAAAAGAGTTCTCTTTTCGGGCTGGCCAGGCCCTACTTAGATAGAAAGAAAACACTTGAGAAAAATGTAGGAAAAAGAGTCGACTTCCTGTTTGTAGTGCGCATTTCGTCGTGTCGGTGCTGTTGTTGTGAACAAGGTCCATACTCGTAAAGTTGAAATAGATTTCCTCAAATTGAATTATAATTCTTAATTTAGTTCAGAGATATTTAGGAGCGCTCCATGAATTAAACTTTCAATTCCCTGCTTTTGATACAGTCTTTGGTTTTAACTCGTTCCCTTTTTTAGCTTTTGATTCTTTCCCATTTGGCTTCGATCCCTCTTTCAGCTTTGATTCTTTCCCTTTTTGGCTTCGATCCCTTTTTCGTTTTTCGTGGTAATTCTCCGCAATAATTCTCCGCAATAATTCTCCGCAATAATTCTCCGCAATAATTCTCCGCAATAATTCTCCGCAATAATTCTCTGCAATAGTTCTCCAATGATAAAGAGATATCATTCAAAGCTCATAGTTTGAGATTGATTGAGGAAGACCTTGTAGGAAAGAATGAGGTTTTCAAGAAGTGTGAAACTGAAATGATAGGTTTCTTCTTCCCTTCCATCGATTCCAAGAGAGAGTCCCTAAATCCTCTCAGATCCCTTGTTGCTGTTACGATTTTCAAGTTATGAATTATTGAGTGATGTCCTTGAGGACGAGAGAACTAAAAAATGTGAGAATTATAATTAAGGATTGTGTTTTTTAATTTTCAGACGGGCAAACAAACATTTGTGTGTAAATTTTCCTCAAGGAATGTGAGATAACTCTCGAATTTTGCAAAAGGTTTTTGATTTTGATTAACAAAGCGCAGAATGGACGACGTAAATCCGCTGGTCATAGGTATAAACAACTGTCTTACGAAATTATTTTTGCCTTTCAAGATTAACAGCTGTTTTAATTTTTACAGATCTTGCTGAAGGGGAAACCTCCGGTTCGGGAGCTGCTTCAACAGTCCATGAGGACGATCAGATGGATGAAGAATCATTTTTGTTGCCCGGTAATTCTCTTTTTTATTATTACAGCAGGAAAATCCTTTTACGATTAATACTGTGACTGATTTAAAACTTGTATGCTTACAGAACCCTTTTATGATGCTGAAGAAGTCCCAGAGGACGAGTTGGGGCTAATCCAATTACCCAAAGAATTGAAAAGACGAGCAAAGGATCTTTGTGGATTGGACTCGGTGGAATGGACCAAGCTGTTGGATTATGCCGACATAGTGAAGAACCATGGGATTGCTCAGATGGCAAAGAAGGGGATTTCAGCTGAACTAAAAAGATGCAAGGACAGCTCTTCAAGGAAGAGAGCACGTTTGGAGGAACTGGAGCAGGAGGTTGCTGACATAGAGGAACGCAGTTCGGATTTGGTTGACAGACGACAACAAGCAATGTTCAGTCAGGAGTTATTTCAACTCGCCAACCAAGAAGCCAGAGCCAGCAAACGGGAATTCTCCTTGGCTATGAAGGATAGGTCGGCTACGGATCTCGGGACTTTTCTTTTAAAACTACGAGGACACAAATCATTTTGGTTTGAGTTGGATTGTGGATGCCATATTTCTCACGATGGTGCGTATAAAAAACCTTTCGACTTCAAGTTCCAAAAAATAAAGAAATGAATATTAATTGAAAAACTATTTCCTTTTGATGTTACAGAGAATGGGATGCTTTCAGTCCGAGTAGGACATGGTGATGAAACAGTTACCTTACGGATTGGAAAGAGGGACCAGTTGCTCAAGGGTTATGCTGCTCGACAGGGGCTCCCCGTTGTTCCGATTCCACCTGGAATATCAACTCATCAGGCTTCTACGTCGCAAACTCCAGCTCGACCAAGTGCTTCTTTGACGGGATCTACGTCAGTGATGCAAAACCAAGCATCAAAACCTTCGACTTCATCCCAAATGAAGTCAACAGTCTCCACATCCAAACCGTCTTCAGTTCCATTGCTTCAGACGCCAGGAGAGAGATCTGGATCTTTACCACCAAA